ATCTCATGCGACATATCTCTGATATTGTCCTTCCTGCAAGAGCTGTTGGATAAGGGCAGTTCCCCTTCCACGCTCAAGGTCTATGTAGCAGCCAAAGCAGCCTCTCACGCTCCTATAGCTGGCCAATCGGTGGGTAGGAACAACTTGGTTGTTCATTTTCTGAAGGGGTCTAGAAGGCTCAAACCGCCTCGCCCCATCACTGTCCCTACATGGGATCTGCCCCTTTCATCCCCTGATGCTTAAGACTGCTCTGCTTCTAACGTTAGCATCGGTAAAGCGTATGGGAGATCTGCAGGCGCTATCAGTGAGCCCCACCTGCCTCGAATTCGGGCCCAACGACTCTAAGGTCATCCTGAAACCAAGGCACGGTTATGTCCCTAAAGTGCTCTCTACTCCATTTAGAGCACAGGTAATAACTCTATCTGCGCTTCCTCCTTCGGAGCAAGACCAAGAGTTGAACTTACTCTGTCCCGTCAGGGCGCTGAAAGTCTATGTTGAGCGTTCCGCCCTGTTCCGGCGGTCGGATCAGCTATGGTAGATCTGCAGGCGCTATCAGTGAGCCCCACCTGCCTCGAATTCGGGCCCAACGACTCTAAGGTCATCCTGAAACCAAGGCACGGTTATGTCCCTAAAGTGCTCTCTACTCCATTTAGAGCACAGGTAATAACTCTATCTGCGCTTCCTCCTTCGGAGCAAGACCAAGAGTTGAACTTACTCTGTCCCGTCAGGGCGCTGAAAGTCTATGTTGAGCATTCCGCCCCGTTCAGGCGGTCGGATCAGCTATTCGTATGCTTCGGTGGCCGCACCAAGGGTTGTCCGGTTACGAAGCAGAGACTTTCAAAATGAATAATTGACGCTATTATGCTAGCATACTCTTCTTTGGGCCTTCAATGCCCCATGGGAGTAAGAGCCCACTCAACTAGAGGCGTTGCCTCTTCCTGGGCCTGGTCTAGCGGTGTGTCCATTGCAGAAATTTGTACGGTGGCCGGCTGGGCCTTGCCATCCACATTTGCCAGATTCTATAGTCTGGACATCCTGGCCTTACAGGCGCGGGTCCTTTCTGCATAGCAGGGCACTCTGTCGTATGACAACCAGTGCTTGGCGTTTGCCTCCTTCATGTACGCTCTTGGCCCTCAGTGAGTTCCGAGGCTGTACTGAATTATTTTGGGACGATGATACAAGGCTGGGCCGACCTCTCTGAGTTTAGCCCTACTGCCTTTTGCGGGGCTTCCCTATGACGCAGTACTCGTTCCATATCTCAGGGAACCGAGGTTACGTTAGTAACCGAGTACGTTTTCTACATAAAATCATCCTTCATAATGTAAATAACGTTCTGTGAAAATGTAACCTTGATATCTTTAATACTGACATAGTAAGGCCATGTCAAAGATGGAAATCATAGTGAAATTAATGGTTGAAATTAAAATTTTGATGCTTATCTCATAATTAGATTTTGAGACTTTAGCCTGGATTTAACAGACAGGGTCACATATTATGGCATTAATGTTATTTAATTAAAGCTGCAGTCTGTAAGTTTTGCCTCTTTGTCGCCATCTCTGTTTGAAAACTTGGAATTGCAGCTGTGTGGACTTTAGCCTGGATTTCACAGACAGGGTCACATATATATATATTCAAATAGAAAACAGTTATATGAAATTGCAATAATATTTCACAATATTACTGTTTTTACTGTATTTTTGATTAAATAAATGCATTCAACACATCCTTCATGAGCACGAGACTAATTTCAAAAACATTTAAAAATCTCATTGAGCCCAGACTTTTGAAGGGCAGTATATTCAGCTGTAGAGGTCTTATAAAAAGACTGAAATTCCGGTTGCTATTTGCTGAAAAGAACAACACCGATAACACTGAGTGAGTGAAATTTTGTGAATTGTGTTGCATTTTAATGTCATTTTTAAGGAAATAATTGTACTCGACAGTTCTTGTTGAAGCAATTAAATTTAAATCAGGTGACATACAGTACATTTAAGGTACAGATGTTGACCCATTTTTGTGTTCCCTGAGAACCAAAATCACGGTCTAATTCATCAAAAACAAGCAGAACAAATTTGTGTGTAAATCATTTGTACAAACACACTTGCATAACGTGTCTCACTGAATGAAGCAATTTACGTAAGAACTGATTTATGAACAATTTACACAGACATTTGTTCTGCTCTTGCTATCAATAAGACCCACTGCAAAAAAGGTATTGCAATGTCATACTAAAATCGAGTACGTCAAACCAATTAAAAATTTGTTGAGCCTGTTGATTTTGCTGTTTTAGCAGACCATTTGACTCATGGCGGGGGAAATCTGACATTTTATTAGCTCTGTTTAACAAAGAATGATAGAAGAGACCTGAAGCAACACAATATGACCATCACGTAGATTCTACCTGATTTCACCCAAAAAAATTATATAATTTGTTTATACTCTGGTCAAAAGTTTGAAATAATTAAGATTAAGATTTTTTTAAAGGTAGTGTCTAATAGCCTACTCACTGAGGCTGCATTTATTTGATCAAAAACACAGTAAAAAACAATAATATTATGAGATATTATTACAATTTTAAAAAACTGTTTAATATATTTTGAAATGTAATTTATTCCTGTGATGCAAAGCTGAATTTTCAGCATCATTACTCCAATGTTCAGTGTCACATAATCCTTCAGAAATCATTTTAATATGCTGCACATTTTAGCCCCCATCCTTGAATGGCCTCTGAGTTTCTCATACCAAAACCTGTCCAGTCTCACCATTGTGGTCAGTAATGCATTAAATGCACCATTTTCAGCACGTCATAAGACACGGAGCTCGGCTTTGTTGGTGAAACGAAATTCTTCCACAGTCCATAAATGGAACAACAACCAAGAGAAACACACTGACCTCGTTCTCATTCACAGCATCTTCAGCCAGCAGCCACTGCTCAAAACACTGAAGGTAAGATTTTGAGTCTTCCTTTTGTCTGTAGTCTGTAGTCATGCAGGCACATGTGTAGCAGGATCAGTAATGTTATTTCTTCTATTTTAGGCTACTAATTTATTTCTAGACTTTATGAGATGTGTTTATGTCAAATAATGGAGTACTCTAATATATATGATGATACTAAAAACTGAAAATGTTTGTAAAGGAAAATATAGGCTCTTTATTAGAAAATGGTTCAGTCCAGGTCAAGGTTGAATGTCCTACAACCTTTGTACTCTGTGCTGTCTCGGATGGAAGAGGTATGTTTTCCATGTTAGAGTTCAAAGAACTTAGCACTCAATACACACATACGCTATCTTACACTCAATAGCCTACATACATTGTATATCAATTAAGGCAAAAAGATATGGAAGATAACAAAGTAGATCAGAGACCACACAGTTGCACAGGGATCAAAACTATAACTGCACACTTGTTAGCAGCTCAGTCTTATGAATGACTATTATATATAGTCATATATATTATTTATAAAATTGTCATTGACATTATTCAGATCAGTCTTTGTTTTGTTTTGGAGATATGTATTTATTAAAGGGATAAATAGGCCAATTGACAATAGGCTGCTTATTTTTGGTCTATAAGCCATCCGATGCTGAAACTCCAGCGAACATGACCAATTCTTCAATCTAATCTAATTGGCAGCTAGGGAAAATTCGTTCCCTAATTGCTTTATGGTAGCGTTATCTGAAAATATGGTTGATATGCTGATTATGTAATTATGGATATCAAGTTTTGTGGTCTATTTATGATATGATCAGATGCTGGGGGGCCCAGGCGACGATCGACCTTTGTGCGCCCTATTTCCCTGATGGACTCTAGAAGCTCGAGCATGAGCACATAATGCACACGTTATATAACATTACGGTGAAAAGATAACAGAAGAACAATAAGACCGATAAGAGCCAAATGATCCGAACCGGCATCATAATTGCACACCTGCCAGCAGCTTAATCCTAACTACTAGCCTATTCAGACAACTTTTTATACTAAAAAAAACTTTAAAAACCTTCTGTTGCTGCTGATGTTGTATGCATTTTAACTTGTGATAGGCCTATGCAAATATATATTTTTTAATTACGTGGGAAACGTTCGAACGGTCTGCTGTTATAATAACCAACGCGACTTCTTGTCGGGAGCGTCAATTTGGTATCAGGTCAGGTGAAAATCATTAACTTTTGAAAGGAAACATACTTGTTAGGCTATATGTATTGAAATTTGAGATATGTAAATATTTATTAATTCCGCGGGAAACGTTCGAGGTCTGTTGTTTTATAGTTACCAACCAACGCGACTTCTTCTTTGCGTCAATTTGCCGTCAGATGAAAATCAGAAACATTTAAAAACGCTGTCAAAATGTTCGTGCTGAAATATCCAAAATAATAATCTATCTATCGATCTAGCTATCTGTCTGTCTGTCTGATATCTATCTATCTATCTATCTATCTATCTTGTCTGATCTATCTATCTATCTATCTATCTGTCTATCTGTCTATCTGATATCTATCTATCTATCTATCTATCTGTCTGTCTGTCTGTCTGTCTGATATCTATCTATCTGTCTGTCTGTCTATCTATCTATCTGTCTGTCTGTCTGTCTGTCTGATATCTATCTATCTATCTATCTATCTATCTATCTATCTGTCTGTCTGTCTGTCTGTCTGATATCTATCTATCTGTCTGTCTGTCTGTCTGATATCTATCTATCTGTCTGTCTGTCTGTCTGATATCTATCTATCT